TTATAATTATTATTATTATTAGAATTTTTTTTTTTGAAATATTCAAATAAATATATTTTAATATTTTTATATAAATATTATTATTATTCGATTTTTTATCTTATATTATTTAAATAAATGTATTAAAAAGTTTTAACACAAAAAAAAAACACATTTCCGGTCGGTCGGACCGCACGGACCGGTCCCGTGCGGCCGGCCAAACCGGACAGCATGATGGTCGTACGGCCGGTCTGTTAGTGCACAGACCGGTTCGCACGGAACATAAGTCGTACGGCCGGTTCGGCCCCGTACGGCTTATGTTCCGTGCGATTTTTTCGGCCGGACACAGCCGGGTCCGGACGTTTTTTCGGGCGGGACAAAAAAAACATACCTCAGAATTGCTTGACATCGTGCAAATGAGAAGGGCAAAATCGTCCAAGGGGGGCGGTGGCGTCATTTGACTTTTCATTTTTTTCTAAAAAACATTGAAGTTGTTTAAGTTTTACCTTTTCAAAACAAATATTGTCAAACATTATATGGATATGCTACAGTCTCGTTATGGAACAATTTCGTCGAGTTTTATCAATTATCCCCGACAGTTACATAATAGTCTAACGATTACAAACTCCAACGAAATAGTTCTGTAACGAGACCATAGCAATTTTTCTCAAAACTATATAGTACATCTTCCTAAAGGCGTCATTCGACTTTTCATTTATTTCTTAAAACAAAAGATACATTATCAATGGTCATTGCCCCACATATTATATATACCTTTCACTATGAACACAATTTATATTAACATTTATGAAAATAAATACTAATTTTAGCGTGAAAACCACAAGAACCATATTTGATGTTATTTTAGATTATGTATGATGTTATTTTTAATATTACAAGGTGCTATAATTTTCACAAATGTCAATATAAATTGTGTTGCTATTTTTAAGAAAATACATCTTAATTAATATATATATATATATAGATACACACACAAATGTTTATATATATCATATTTAAAATAAAAAGAAAAATAAAGAATAAAAAATAAAATAAATCGTAAAAATTCCTAATTAAAAAAATAATAAAAAATAATCATCTATTGATATATAATAAGGATTAACATAATTCACTTTTAGAAACACTTTTTTGCCAATTTCATTAATTATTGTCTATAAATAGTAAATTAACAAAAATCAATTTAATTAATGTACATAATTTTTTTAGTCAAATATATATGGTTATTACTTTTATTAGTTAAATTTAAATTTAGGATGGTTTAGTTTTATGGAAACAAATATGGGGTACTATAGAAACTTTCGAAATCCTTAATTTAAATATATAGACTTGATTGAGCAATTATAGAGAATTAATCGTTAATCTTTATTCTATATTATATTTCCTGTATTGAGTAAAACATAATAAATTAATATTTATGTTATTTTTCATACATCTTTTTGTTGGCATAGTAGAGTTGCAAGATTATCTTTTTCTTCGTAGTCAAGATAACCAAATACAAAAATATAAATAACATTTATGTGCCGCTAAAAAATATTTTGGACAAAATGTAGAAATGACCTTTAGAAAATACTTAATTAATTTATGGTAGAAAGTTGACAAAATTAATAAATCCAATTTTGGTATAAAGTTGATGATTATATTTTAAGTATCTGATAGTCATTTTTATTTTTTCATGGAAAATGTGTTGTTAATAATAAAAATGTTCGATTTTGTGGTATAAAGTGGGTGATTTATTTTTGGGACGAAATGTTCGAATTTAAGTAGTATGAATTTTATTTGGAATGGATAGAAGTATATTTGAAATTATTGAAAACAAAATAAGAGCATTTTACAATGCGTAAAATGTTGTTATCACATAAATATTGACAAATGTCAATTGTTTATATGGATTGTGAAACACATAAGATATTTGTTAAGTTTACAACTTTATACGCGTGCACAATGTGATCAAATATAATATTGTCAATTGGCAAAAATAAAAAATAAAAAATAAATAAGAAACAAAAAATAAATTAATAATTAGATATTTTTTTAAAAAAATATTCCATAATATTTGATTAAACACTAAATCCGGCTATTTGGAATCACTTATATTTAAAAGCAGTATTATTATGGAACCAAATATTATGGATTTAAAACACTATAATTATAATATCATGATATTTAACCACAACTCAATCTTTTTAATTTAATCCATATCTCTTTTTAGACTTATCAATTCATTTTAATATAATATAAATTTATCGTAAAAATGAGAGTTGGACTTTGCAATAATCACGGTATCAATATTAACAATATAAATGCTAAATAAAACTTAATTATTTGGACTGTACACTTTATTATATACATATAAATAAATCGCCTATTTGAACTTTAAATATTTTATTTTTTTCATATATAGTTATGCAATATGTGCAACTTAACTAAAGTAAAAAGTATTCTAAAGATTTCATTTCAATCATGGTAACATGTTTTTTATAATTGCCACAATTTTCGATTCACTAATCCACTACTCATGTAAACATCTTTTTGTTATAATATACGATTTTCTTTTTTATCATTTTAAATCATTTTATCACTTTTTTTATGAAACATATTTCATTTAAAAACCGTGATTTACATGTCCTCCGATTCATTTAGTTATTTTTTATCTACAAATGATAAAATATTGGTGTTGTTTTTTTAAACGTAATTATTTTTATAAATATTTTTAACAAAAGATACAACCAAAATTCCAAATATCTGTTAAAACATAACAAAATAAAATCGTTCTCAATTTTTGGAATGAATTTGGCATGAAAAATGAGGAATGATTGAAAAAAAAAAAAAGATATACTCAAAATCCACACTTTAACTTTAAGGTAACAATTTTTCTTATACTCGATATAAAATTAAACTCCACCAGATAATCATATCTTTAGTATCTATCACAATAGTACATATTTTCACTATAGTTTTATTTCATGGTGGTAACATTCCGCAAATCAAAAAAAAGGTTAAAGAATGATGTGTCTATACAATTCACAATTACCAAGTAGAGAACAATCTTGGTAAATGTCGATTTACGGTTACCAAGTGAAAAATAATTTTGCATGGAAAAACAAAGTGCTTTTTAATAATGTATGATTTTTCATGATGATCATTTTACAATTACCTAATAAATGTTCTATGTATTATAATTTATTGATTAATAGCCTTCAATTATAAATTTTACCAAAATAAATACAGCTCACGGAGTATGTACTAGTAAATATAAAAGTAGTATGGTTAACCATATTTATAATTTTAATGCAAATAAAATGATAGTATTTTGCAATTTTTATAACATTAATTAATAATGAAGTGGTGATTTTAGGAATTTATCTCTCATTCTCTCTCTTTTCTCCATTTCTTGATATTTATTTTAGGCAAAATTGCATCAAAATACGCCATCTTTTAACTTTTTGCAATTTAATCACCACATTTTAAAGTTTTTGCAATTAAGTACATCATCTTTAGACATTTGGCAAATCGAAGCATGCCAAACAGAAACCGGCACCGACTTTCTTACATGGCAATGTCGGAACCTCACGTAGAAATCGGAAACATGCGTGGAAGTCCAAAAATACCAAACAAAAAATTAAAATGCCACAAAATCAGTCTACTTGGTAGATTTGCTAAAATAAAATCAAAATTAAGTAGCTCCTCAGACCTAAATTCAAAATCAGTCGAACAACTATAACCCTATATTGAAAAAATGTCGATCAATTCAAAATGTTCTCTTGTGGCCAAAATAACTCACCTCCAAAATAATCTACAGAACCATCAAGATTGATAAATCTCCCCCCATGGTTCTTGGTCGACAATTTTGCAATATAGGGTTCTTAGTTGTTCGACTGATTTTGAATTTAGGGCTGATGAGATACTTAATTTTGATTTTATTTTAGCAAATCTGCCAGGTAGACTGATTTTGTGGCATTTTAATTTTTTGTTTGTTATTTTTGGACTTCCACGTGAGTTTCCGACGACACCACGTAAGAAAGTAGGTGCCGATTTCCGTTTGACATGCTTCGATTTGCCAAATGTCTAAAGCTAGTGTACTTAGTTGCAAACTTTGAAATGTGAAGATTAAATTGCAAAAAATTAGAAGGTGGTGCATTTTGATGCAATTTTGCCTTTATTTTATATATATTTGAATACATTGGTGCAGATGAATGGAGACAATATATTTAGGGCTAAACTAAATCAAATTAATTAGTGTTCTAAAAGTCGTTAGATCCTTTCAGGCGCTCGACCAGGGCCTAGCGCCTAGAGCGTCTAGGTCGGCGCATAGTCGGGGTCTAGAAATCAATATTAACTATCTTATTTTTTATTTATTTTAATTACCTACAAAATAAAATTAACTCAACTTATAATAAATCGACACACCTAAGTCAAAATAATAAAATTAATATATTTTAAATAAAACATGAGAACAAAATAATGTAATTAATATTTACAAAAATAAAATGAAAAAACTAAAAATATGTCGCTGAGCCCGCCTAGGAGCGTCTAAGTCCGCCTAGGCGCCAACTAACCACTTGACCGCCTAGTCGATTTTTTCTGCTGATTTGTAGAACAATAAATTAAATATTAGAAATCGCATCTTTCCGATCTTACAAATGTTTAACTATGTTTAGGACAAAAAAGTAAACACAAAAATAAATAAAAAAAATTATTAGGGCTTCTCCAATGGTTAGCTATTTGGCTAACTATTATGACGTGGACATGGAAAAAGTAAGAGAGAGAGTAGTCACTAGCTACTAACAAATAGCTTATCTATTTCACGTAGCCCAAGATCATGTGAGAGGAGTACGTGGGTCCAATAATGTAAAATAGTTATTTTTCTTATCTCTCACATCCACGTCAGCTAACCATATAGCTAGTAATAGCTATTACCATTAGAGATGCCCTTACAGATCTACTAATTAGCAATTTAGCACAAATCACAAGCCCAAAGTTGCTAATTTCGCCATTTGACCATGTCTTGTTTGGACTCCATTAAAGCTCTAACCTTCATATCATCTTCTTCACCATTCTATGCCGTGAAATCACACTCCTTTCCAAGTTTACCAGCCCGCAACTCCCTCGTGCCTCCTAAAAACCTCAAAACCTTCCCAAGATTTGCAGTAATGGAGCTCAAGGCATCTCAGGCGCCACCGCCAACAAGGTAGAACCCAGAACAATCCGAACCAATAAATAATGCACAAGACGAAGCACTCTTAGTTTATGGAACATTTACTTTTCCCCCCCTTTTTCTTTTCGATCTCGTAGGTATGCGGTGGTGACAGGAGCAAACAAAGGCATCGGCTTTGAGACTGTGCGCCAGCTGGCAACCGCCGGCGTCACCGTTGTCCTGACGGCCCGGAACCAAGAGAGGGGATCGGAGGCCGCGAAGCAGCTGCAGGAATCTGGTCTGTCTAATGTAATATTCCACCAGCTTGATGTTCGAGATGCACAGAGCATACAAGATCTTGCCAAGTTCGTGGCGCGACGGTTTGAAAGGCTTGATATTTTGGTAACTTAAATTATTTTGACTCAAGTTTCTTTCTATGATATGAATTTGAGGCGAATCAGGAATTGAACGTTTGTTCTTGAATGTGGGTTAGTTGATGCATTTGGATACATTTGTCAATGTGTGTACTATAGATGGTGGTAGGTGAAGGTTTATCTGAGCTTAGGCATAAAAATGTGGTTTGATTCAGATTCTTAAGAGACTACGAATGGAAAATTATGAGTTATATTATTGGTTATTGGCGTGAATCTCTTCGAGTTTTTTAGGTAAATTTACCGGACAGGTTTTTACTTCCTTTGCCGACTAGCTTCCGACGGATTCCTTGTCATAATTTTTGCGAGAAACATAGGCCTTGTGTGGTCCCATCCCAACTCTTTCATTATGGTTCTTAGATTTGCATGAGTTCTATTGCAAAATTTTGAAAAATATTTGTTTTAATGTGAATATTGAAAAATAATCGGTTGAAATTGAGATACAAAAATGCAGTTGGGTTTAGAAATAGGATGACGATTCGTAAAATGGTTTTCATTCAAGATGCTTTTCTTTTTTGCTAGAACTAACATGAGTACTGTAATATTGAGTTGCATTGGATGGGAATGTGAGGAGATGGTTATGTGGTGTGGATTGAACTGGACTGAACAACAATCTAGGGAACACGTCTGAGAGTAAATATCTGGTATTGTGACAACAAATGCATAGTGAAATTTTCAGAGAGAATGTAGCTTTAGGATAGAGTAGAAAGTTCATTAAACAGAACATATTTTGATATCTAGAAAATAGTATACTGGAAATTAGGTATTTGAAAATGGGGACATGAACAGGCCCACGGAGTTGATGGATCCATCCAAACTTAGTCAAGATTGCCCAATGTAGGTGTTTAGTGCTTTCTGGATCTGAAAGATTGAGTCTTGATTCTTTTTTCGACTCTGAAGTTTTTTTGTCCACTGGTGATTATCCGATCTGTGCAGGTAAACAACGCTGGAGCTTCTGGGGTAGAAGTTGATGAAAATGCGCTTAGGGCTTTAAACATTGACGCTGCAACATGGGTAAGACATCGGTATAAATCACTTTGACATCATTACTGAAATAGAAAGGTATTAATCCCTCCAAATAGAAGTTGTTAAAGATGAGTTCATTCAACAGTGAATCATGCTGCTTACTGTTCAAGCTTGTTTGAATGAGCTTACAAAACTCTCTTTGAATTTAGTTTGGTTTCTGAACGGGATACATATTCAAGATTTAATTGTCCTTGTTAATCATCCGTGTTCTGATGAGCTTTTTTAGAGGTTAATCTCGAGAAAATGGTTCTTTTTCTCAATGCTATTGGCTGACGTAGCTGATGATCACGAATATAGTTGTTATCACTGTTAATTTTTCTCCTCGACAAAATGCAGCTGGCGGGGAAGGCAGTGAACTTGGTTCAAGATGCCATTAAGACAACCTATGAGAAGGCCAAAGAATGCATAGACACGAACTACTACGGTGTCAAGAACGTAACTGAAGCCCTTATCCCTTCACTTCAACAGTCCACCTCAGGAGCAAGAATTGTGAATGTCTCTTCTTTGAGGAGTGAGTTAAATGTAAGTAATTTTTATTTTTATTCATATATTTATTTTTCCAGAAATAATTTATCCGAACATGAGAACCTCACGCTATTGGATGTTTAGAAGTGGTCCAAGTACCTTTTATTTATTTTCCTTTTCTATTTTTCTCCCCTCTAATGCAGCGTGTCCCTAACGAGGATAGAAGGAAAGAACTTGGAGATATCGACACATTAACAGAAGAGAAAATCGAGAGAATACTTCAACAATTTCTACACGACTTGCAGCATGATGCGCTAGAGGCCAACGGATGGCAAAAGATGCTACCAGCATACAGCATATCTAAGGCCACTCTTAATGCGTACACGAGAGTTCTGGCCAAAAGATATCCTGAAATGTGTATAAACTGCGTGCATCCAGGGTTTGTGAACACGGATATCAACTGGCGCACGGGGACCATGACTGTGCAAGAAGGGGCCGAGGGGCCCGTAATGCTAGCCTTGTTGCCCGAGGGAGGCCCCACTGGCTGCTATTTTGACCGCACGCGTTTGGCTGACTTTTGATTTTTTACGTGCTCTTTTTTTTTTCGTGTGGAATTGTTAAGACATAAATGTAATTCGATGTCCTTTGAATTGTTAGATGGAAAGAAAAAATTATCTTGTGTTGATTCCTAATTAAAGGCATTGTGGCAAATTATCTGTAGGGGTGCACCGCAAAAAAACCGAAAACCAATTTTTTGAAATTTTTTAACCGCACCGCATAGCAAGAGAAAA